CCAGATTGTCTAGCTAAGTGGCAGGAAGAGCAAAGAAAATACTAGAAAGTGGCTGAAATGCCAGTTGTTATAGCTAGGGATTAGCTGGGGATTAGAAAGAAGTTAAATTATTATACATAGAACAAGCAATTCAGCAGGATAGGTCAAGAGAACTTCAATGGAGGCAAGGAGCGATGGTGAGAGATGCCGATAAAGGAAATACATATTGAGCTAATGCATATGAGAAATGAATGGCATTCAAATTGAAAGAGAAAGAGAGAGAGAGAGAGGGAGGGACAGACAGAAAGAGAGTCAGGCAGTCAGGATATATCCTTAAGACACTTGCCTTACGGGCTTGCAGATATGCGAGCCTCGCCAGCCTCGCCTAAAGTCTCGTCAGGGCTTAAACTATTTTTTGCTTTGATTAGAATTGTTAATCATGCTAAGAGTATTGGGCAAAAAGTGCAGCCACACAGCCTGATTAGCCCGAGCAAAGCAAACTAAATGAATTAAATAAAGCATTTACAACGATTCGCTCTGAAAGTTTTTCCACAGAGATTCGCTGTGCATCTCAACTTTCTACTCGGAACTTTGAAGTGCCCAAATGCTGACGCCTCAATCCCAAAAAGAAAAAAAAAAAGAAATGGGCTAAGAGACAAAGAATGTATATGTATTAAATTTTGCATTGCCTGACGTCATTCTAAGCGGCTGCTGTCTGCACAGGCTGGCTCCTCCTGCTGTCGCACACCTTGACTGCCCTTACCATCATACAACCCCGCCCCGCCCCCCCTCTGCTGCCCCTCTCAACGACCCAGCGCGTGCTGCTGCAGCTTGGGTGTTCGTCGTAATTTGCGCACTCAATGGAAAATTGTTAATTAGATTCCTTGCTTGCCGTGTGACTTTGTCTTCTTTACCACGTCGTCGTCGGCCATTGTTGTGCTGTCCCTCCCCCGTCCAACCTCCACCTTGCGGGTGGAACCCTTTGCCAGAGCTGGTGGGTGCCGCGTACACTGGAGCATGCCCCTCGGCTGAAGCGTTTTAGCCGTAGCTTTGTGCCAAAGTTGGTTAACGTGATTGTTGTTGGCCCTTTGCCTCGTCGCTGGGCTGGGCTGGGCTGGACTGGGCTGGGCTCGGGCTACGGAGCTTGTGGCCTCGCAACTAGCAATTGTTTTAAGCCACCTTTCCGCTTCAACGACTCAGCGAACTCAGCGAACTTTAAGTGCAAAGCGTTTTACACAGGAGAAGAGCACAATTTTTGCACTAAACTTTTTGCTCTTTCACTTTTTACCAACTGTGGCGAGTGTGTGTGTGTGTGTGGTGCAATGTGGTGTCATGTGCGCTCAGTTTTGGGTTCAGTGAAATCTTGCAACGGTAACGAGTGCAGGAAATAACACGGATGCGGTAAGCACAACCGAGCAATGAAACATCTGAACATCCGGACATAGAACGTAAGCCAAAGTCGGCAAAGAGAGATTGAACAGCGGTGGGCAGGGTGGTAAAGGAGGGGGGGTCTGAAATAAAGATTGTGTTAGACAACGATTAAATAAAGCTACGAGCATTAATTAAACGCGACAGAGGCAATTGATTTATCAGCCTCTTCAGCTGCTCAATTTAATCAGCAAAAATAAAAAAAGAAGCTCATTCAATTCACAGCCGAAAGCTGCAAATAAAGTGAAACGTTTACGAATACCGCACAAAGAGAAATCGTAATAATGATTTGCACTTTTTGTACATAGCTTAGAAACTGAGTTCTGTGGAAAAATTGTGGACTCAAATTAAATGATTTTTTCGAAGCGAAAAACACAAAAATAATAAATACAAATTATTTCCAATCGTTCAGTCACATTTCATTTCCCAAACCTAATCTAGCACAATTTTGAAAATATATATTTCGATTTTAAGTATATATACATATATATTCGTACTCGTTTTAATAGAATTCCATGAATACGCTTTGTACTCAGTTGATTATGAATAGATATTTTGAGTATAACCCTTCTTCACGCATTTCTTCATTTCTCGCATATTTCACTCAAATCATTACAGATCAGGCCATTGCCACTCCCTCCCTATTAAGCGGACACCCGACGCTCGCTGTCCGCACAAGAGAGTTTTCATATAAATATATATTTATTGTTATTAAGGAAGAAGCTCAGTGCATGTTGATTGGTTCTACAGGTGGACAACATAAAAAACAAAGAAATAAAAATCGTCACAGCTCTCCCCCCCCCCCACTCCGTCAGACACCCCTTCCCTCATCATACACACAACACGCTGACGCTTAAAAACAATTCAAGGATTCACTCAACTGGTGCGATGCGAAATGCGATTGGTTCCACATGTGCTGTGTGTGTTTTGTGGCGACATGTGTGTGCCTGTGTGTGTGTGTGTGTGTGTGTGTGTGTGTGTGTGTGTGTGTGTGTGTTTGTTTCAATTAAGCGCAGCAGCCGTGGGGCGCCAGGTCGGCAGATGCATTCGCCATGGCCAGCAAATAAAACTTAGACACGCTCCATGGCATTGGCGAGCGAGGGGGCGAGCGAGGGGCGGGCGGGATGGGCGTGGCGGCTAGCGAGCGAACGGGGACTGGGGTGATGCAGGCAAGGGTTAAGTCCTGGCAGCAGCACAGCCAAAGCCAAGGCAGAAAAGAAAAGGAAAAAAATGCCAATTAAAATCTTAGCCGGGACAAGTGCATCATCAGGCAGACAAGACAAGGCAAGGGCGTGGGACGTGGGCCGTGGGGAGAGGGGCGAGGGGCGAGGGGCGAGAGGCGAGGCGGTACAAAACGGAATGGAATGAAATGGAATGGAATGGACTGGAGCCTTGGCCAGCCTGTGTGGGCACGGGCTGGCGGATTGCGCGACACGACTCGAGTCGAGTCGAGGGAAATTGCCCCACTTGACGCCTTTGTGTGGAGCTCGTCTTGCTATCGCAAATGGCTCAAAAGTGGCTTCTTTTCTTTATTGTTGCTGTTGCTGCAAGTGAAGAATGCAGGCGTCGAGTGGCTGCTACTAAAATACTTAAGCAGCGCACTTGAGGCCTTCATAAAAACAGAATAGCCAAGAATGTGCTGCCAAGTGGCCAAGTTCGTGCCATCCAGAGATTAGAGATTAGAGCCAAGTGTGAGCTCAACGAAAAGGCAATTAACTAGGCTCCGACAACAACAGCAGCAGCAGCAGCAGCAACAACAACAACAACAACAACCAGTTGAACTGGCTTCAGGCTCAACTAGTTCAGCTCATCTAGTTCTGGCTCCGCCACGGAACTGTACCAAGTTAAATATTGAAAAGCGAATTGGATTTTGATAAAGAACAACCAAACCTGAAACTGAACTAAAGATGCTTTTTTCTTAAAGCAATATCCTTGCAAATTAATAGTAAAATGTTGACCAGCATCGGACTACGATGTATAACATTTAGCTCATTTAGGCTAGAATCGCTCGAAAAAGGATTTTTTAGCTGGAAAAATGTCCTGCAATCGATTCATTATTTTACAATCTCTTATTCAGCCTTAAACCTAGCTTGTTATCGATATCGATATATCGAGAGATCGCATTACCTCTCTTGCCTATCGATAGACTTATCATAGTATCGATTGTTAGCTTGGTTATTCCTACAAATAACATTGCACTCATTGCACACTGCTATATCAATATATATTTATATGTATACTTATATGTAATATGTGGAAGAAGATACTTCCGACCCCTTAAATGATATATATTCTAGATCGGCATCAACAGACGAGTTGATATAGCCAGGCCGCTGTCTAATCGTTTGTTTAATGCGAACTGGTTCCTCAGTTTTTAAGCTTTTGTCTTGCAACCTTGCACATGTCGGATCGGAAAACTATATGATATAGCGGCCAGAGGAACGATCGGTCGAAAAGTAGATTCTTGTATGGAAAACTTATCTTGACCAAACTAGCCAGACTATGCTGCCTGTACCTGAGCCAAATCTTACCAAGATCTTACTACTATATTATATAGTTCTATAGGCAGAATCGGTCGAGAGGAATAAGTTTGCGTATGACAAAATGTTCTAATATCCGCGATATTTTTCAGGCTATTAATGCTTTGGCGTGCCGCAGATATCCTTGCTTACGCGATTTTCATTTTTATGTGCGCAGTTCTTTCAAATTGAATTAGTTCCTTTTGTTTTTCATATATAAACTTTTTGCTGTTACGGCTGTTAGGGCAAACAATTCAATTTATGCTCTCTGCACTATCCCTGCTCTACCCCTTGCCATCAAACGTTGCCCACACGCCCCGCAACTAGCACAAGCGCAAGCGTTCCAATTGGAGTCTGGTAGTCTTCTTATTGGACAAGTTTATGTGCGCCTCGCACTTACTTCGCTTTTGTTTTTTATTTTTCGGGCATGTGTGTGGCAAAAGGGTTAAAGCACACACACACGCACACACGCACACACACACACACACACACACACACAGACACACACACACACACACGCACACACACACACACAGTGACAGGCACATGTCCTCGGGTTGAGGATGTGTGAGATGTATGTGCGTGTAAATTGCGTATAAAAGCGTATGTTGAAAATATTTATTGCCCGTTGCGAATGCAACAAAATGGAAATGAAAATTTCATTAGTTGACTTCTGCCTCGCACTCACACACACGCACACACACACATGTGTTTCTTTTATGTTTTTTGCTCGCTTGTTTTAAGCTAAATTGTTTATTTTATTAGCAATTTGGAGAATTTATGAGTTGAGCAAGGACCTGCTCCGGCAACCCGTCCAGCGAGCAACCAATTCGAAATGAAGCTCTGGAATGCCCATTAATTAGCGTGCAGCTGAGAGACGAAGAGAGCGAGAGATAGAGAGAGAGAGAGAGTGGGAGAGAGAGAGAGGGCTACTCGTTGCTGCTGCCCTCTGTTGGTCAAAGCGCAAGGGACAGCCTGGCAAAGCTTGCAAGGACTGCATCCGATCCAGCTCATTGCCTACCTTTAGGCGATGCCTTTTATTTTTAAAGGGTATTCGAGAGTATACGCGCTTACCAGGTAAACATGTTCCGGTGCCGCTGAAGTTCTTCAGTTGCGGAAATCCTGCAAAAAAGAAGAACAGCAGAAAACGAGATTAGAAAAATTGGAATTGGAATTGTTGTGGCAGAAGGTAAAAGAAGTAAAGGTAAGCGATGATTATCAATAGCTGTTATCGATAGTTGTTAGTTATTTTTGCTATCGATATACTTGTAGGGCTATCGATAACTGTTAACTGCAACCGATATATTTTTATATGGTCATATTGAGATGGACATCACGGAAAGAGACAAACGATGCCAATCTTATCGATGACCAAAAAAAGATTGTGTTCTCTGATATTTTACCTATAAACGATGACAAGAACCGGTAAGGGCAAATTTATCGATGGTTATCAATATCTGTCTATCGGTATTTATTGATTGTTGTTATCGATATACGTAATCAAAGTCATTTGATTACTTTTTACTGGTTTCTGTGATTGATATACTTGAGGTGCAAATGTTACTAACATAATGGAAGGAGGCAGCAGACGTAGGAATGGCTGATGGTTATTGGTAGATGTTATCAGAAGCTGTTGATTAATGTTATCGATAAGTTTATCAATATCTGTTATCGATTTTTCTTGTTATATTTTTGTTATCGATTTAGCTAAAGTGTCATTGGTTGTCGAACTTTGAAAATATGTTTTTCTTGACAAATATTCTCTCGCTAGTATATGCAATTGAAGCTTCACTGTGCTACACACAGTTTTCAAATGTTTGCTCATTAGTTGCCGCATTTATTAGCCTTACAAAAGCTCTCTAGCAATACGACCTGACCCTGACCGCGCATCTTCTTGCCCCGCTGTCAGACTGCTCCGGCTGCAGCATGCAAATCATCGAGTGGCTCAGCTTGGCTCGGAACGTCGTGCTGTCCGAGTTGGAGGGTCGACGGGTTGGCGGGTCGTCGGGTCGGTTCCTCGGAGTGACATATCAAAGCAAAATCAAATTTGACAGACAACCCCGCTAATTTCTGCTCGATGTTTCATTGTTTTAAGGCGTTCGAAATGCCTCGCTTTAAAAGGGGCTGCGACGCGCACAATCGGACAAGCGGCAGAGGCTGCGTTGGTGCGCTCTTAAAGGGGGGGTGGATTAAATAAAAGGTGGTGCGGGGGTGTGGTTGCTGACGCATTGCGCAAAATGCTGCCATCCCAATAAGAGCTAAGCTTGTGCAACATGCCTGTGTGTGTGTAGGCCCTCCCCCTCCCTTCCCATCCCCCTGCAGACGCCCCTGCTCACGGCGTACGATGAGAGCGAACGGAGGACGTCAACAATGCGCACATATCAAACTGGAAACTACATTTATTAGCTTTCGCCTTGTTATCAGGCCCCTAAGCCCCCTAGCCCCTAGGCCCTCCTGCCACCCTGTGGTAAACCCTCCTGGCTGGCCCATGGACTATGTGCTCTGCTGTGGCATGTCAACGGCAATCAACAGCCGCTGCTGATTTACCAAGAATTTTGAAATCGTGAAATTCGATATTGCGCGAAATTTCTGTAAGGAATTGTGAGTACTTCTGAGTGAGTGCGAGTGTGTGTGTGTGTGTGTGTGTGTGTGTGCGTGTGTATGAGTGTGAGTGTGAATACAACAACAGCTGAATCTGTAAATGGGGAAACGCACAGCTCTATAGAAATGCAAGTGACGAAGTATTTATAAACTGATTAAAGCTAAACAAAAGCTGATATGGGTCGACACGAACCGCAGCGAACCGTCGCTGTTTGCCGCACTGCACGCCCCTTGCTTGCCACACCCCCTGCAAACTGAAGCTTTGGCGAATTTTATAGCTAAACTTACAACACACAAACATTTCTAATCGCGACCACACAAAGCGTGGCAACAACAGACGTCGCGTCGTGAGCTCTTGGTAAAGCGCCAATGACCGCGGGTCATGCAAAGTAGCCACAAACAACAACAAATGATACATGTGTATGTGTGTGTGTGTGTGTGTGTGTGCGGCGGCACAAGTGAATGGCAGCTGGCAGTAGGTACAAGTTTCGAGTACTCGCACTTGAATGCATTCATCCCATCAAGCAGTCAGCAATCGCAGTGAGTCATGACTATTGCGTTTCGTTCGAATCATTCGAATAGTTGCGCTTTTTTGGTGAATACATTCATAAAACTCAAACTCAGCTTCTAATTGCATTGAATATTATGTGAATACACTAATTTGCGGTCTTGCTGGCCATTGATACCATTGAATATTTCTTATCTTGTCGAAATTAGTCTTTGAATAATTTGAATAGTTGCGCTTGTTTGGTAAATACATTCATTTAACTCACTTTCTATCAGTAACATGAATGACTTCTAGGCATCTATCAAGCGCTAAGGTACTTTTTAATGCAATGAATATATTCTGAATACACTCATAAGCGGCTTGTTTGCCATCAATATGAATGAATCATTTGAATAGTTGTGAATATTTAGTTCGAATACATTCATTTAACTCACTGCTATCAGCGACATGAATAATATTCGCGCAAAACTTCATCTTAATGCGATGAATATACTGTGAATGCATTCATTTTGGTTCTGTTTGCCATACATATGAATATATATATTTAAATCAAATTTCTAAAGTTTGTGTGCAATTTCAGTGTATTCACACTTGAATTAAATTGCAAGTTAATACAACTTCATGAAGACAATTATCTAGGCAATTATCTTAATGAAGTTTCAAAAGAAACTGAATGAAATATAACTGAACACTTGCGAGCGAATGTTGAATCATATAAATACACTCACACTCATTCACATTTGCTGTAACCCAACAAATCGAACAGGTCTGCAACTGTTAACTCAATGTGCTCAAATCGCTGAGTGGCCACACTTCAAATAGTTATTTGTTGATGAATACCCACATGAATATATGAATCTATGAATCTGAATGAATATGCGCTGCATAATTAGCAGTCATCGACGGCGAGCAGTGAAAGCAGCTAAAAATAGCTGAAAAAATAACAAAATAAAATAAATTAAAACAAACGAATAAATAAACAATAAAAAGGTGTTTTTCGAGAAACTACGAAGATCAAATACCCTTATAGACAGAGATAGTATAGATATATACGGACCGTACAGAGATATAGCATATCGATTCGATACGGTCGTATCTAAGTATCTAAGCTCGAGGTCAATGATGGGTTATTTTATATATAAGAAAGTTATTTCGAAAACCTTCCAATTATATTCTTAGCAGACTTTGCTATCGCATCTGAGATAGAAACGGAATGCCTTAACCAGTTGAGAATTACAAGCGGCAAGTTACGGAAGAAAAGGAATCCAATCAAATCAGTTTCATTTTATCTTTCAAACGATCATCCCTCCATAATAAGTATATATCATTTATGTTATTGCAGACGTCTTCTTCTATTTGTTACACTTTAAGTGACGGAATTATAATATCCACACTTAGAGGGTATAATAAAATCAAATACTGAAGAAAAAAAAAAACCAAAAGTTATTCATTCGATTCACGACGATTCAAATCGAGCCGCTGAAGAAGCGAAACAGCCAAATAAAAGAGCTTCACAATGAGGCTCAAGTGGCAAGTCGTGTTTATTTGCGCTATAAAATTAGCGCAGCGTCAAGCTCGAGATGTCTGCAGATGTATCTGTATCTGTATCTGTATCTGTATCTGTATCTGTATCTGTATCTGTATCTGTATCTGTATCTGTATCTGTATCTGTATCTGTATCTGTATCTGTATCTGTATCTGTATCTGTATCTGTATCTGTATCTGTATCTGTATCTGTATCTGTATCTGTATCTGTATCTGTATCTGTATCTGTATCTGTATCTGTATCTGTATCTGTATCTGTATCTGTATCTGTATCTGTATCTGTATCTGTATCTGTATCTGTATCTGTATCTGTATCTGTATCTGTATCTGTATCTGTATCTGTATCTGTATCTGTATCTGTATCTGTATCTGTATCTGTATCTGTATCTGTATCTGTATCTGTATCTGTATCTGTATCTGTATCTGTATCTGTATCTGTATCTGTATCTGTATCTGTATCTGTATCTGTATCTGTATCTGTATCTGTATCTGTATCGTATCTGTATCTGTATCTGTATCTGTATCTGTATCTGTATCTGTATCTGTATCTGTATCTGTATCTGTATCTGTATCTGTATCTGTATCTGTATCTGTATCTGTATCTGTATCTGTATCTGTATCTGTATCTGTATCTGTATCTGTATCTGTATCTGTATCTGTATCTGTATCTGTATCTGTATCTGTATCTGTATCTGTATCTGTATCTGTATCTGTATCTGTATCTGTATCTGTATCTGTATCTGTATCTGTATCTGTATCTGTATCTGTATCTGTATCTGTATCTGTATCTGTATCTGTATCTGTATCTGTATCTGTATCTGTATCTGTATCTGTATCTGTATCTGTATCTGTATCTGTATCTGTATCTGTATCTGTATCTGTATCTGTATCTGTATCTGTATCTGTATCTGTATCTGTATCTGTATCTGTATCTGTATCTGTATCTGTATCTGTATCTGTATCTGTATCTGTATCTGTATCTGTATCTGTATCTGTATCTGTATCTGTATCTGTATCTGTATCTGTATCTGTATCTGTATCTGTATCTGTATCTGTATCTGTATCTGTATCTGTATCTGTATCTGTATCTGTATCTGTATCTGTATCTGTATCTGTATCTGTATCTGTATCTGTATCTGTATCTGTATCTGTATCTGTATCTGTATCTGTATCTGTATCTGTATCTGTATCTGTATCTGTATCTGTATGTATCTGTATCTGTATCTGTATCTGTATCTGTATCTGTATCTGTATCTGTATCTGTATCTGTATCTGTATCTGTATCTGTATCTGTATCTGTATCTGTATCTGTATCTGTATCTGTATCTGTATCTGTATCTGTATCTGTATCTGTATCTGTATCTGTATCTGTATCTGTATCTGTATCTATCTGTATCTGTATCTGTATCTGTATCTGTATCTGTATCTGTATCTGTATCTGTATCTGTATCTGTATCTGTATCTGTAT